CCACGTGGTTTATCACGTAAAGCAGCGTCGCGTGATTATTGCACAATTCTGTTTTTCCACGTGTCACGAACGATTGCTTGCGAGAGAAATACCGGTGATAAATTTACCAATAAAGACCGAACAAATTTTTCTCATTTGTACGCGCCGTACGGGACCTTGAATAAAGAAAGAATCGTAAAAAAAGGATACACATTACCGATCGATCGATTTAACTTTCTTCTATGAACATATGCAATTATGAATTGAGATATAACAATGTGCAAACGTGTTTTTGCCAATCAATTCCAAACGAGGATTAATGTTGCCAATCTAGCGGCTGCGAAAACGGTTTCTGAAAAACGGTTTGTCATGTAAGCATTTATGCGTGAAATTTTGCCTCCACTTTGACCATTATGTCGTAACAGTTGATACTATGACGCAAAGGCAATAAATACTTCCTTTGTCTCGAAAGCCGCACCCTAAGCTTCAATGCCGGCCATTACCTGACCTACATAGATGGTATCACTGATTAATGCAGTCTAAATTAACACATGTCTCACTTATCTACGGTAAAACGTGCAAAAAATATCCGAATCGATGTAAGACTAATCGATTTATCACGAACATCGCAATCAATAATATTATTACGAGAGAAGATACTTCAAATTTTGGACAAGAAAGAAGCAAAATTTATTAATCATCAAATGATATATCATCAAAAAAAAAAAAGAAATAAATGATAAAAAAAGAATAGATCGAATGACAAAAGCGAATTAATCGAAATCGATCTCGATTAGACGGACAGACAGAGCTACCACCGGTGGAGAAACGGCGAAACAAAGATATTACGTACCGGTTCGAGTATCGTGAATGTGTTGAATGTTCGAAAATATTTGCCGAGGAAAATATATTAACCAGAAAAAGGAAGTGTTATATTCTTTTTGTGTTAAATATCATTTCAATAACGATCCCGATAAGGAAAGTGCATATATTTTTATTAAGTTACTTTCGATGTAACTGGTGAGGCAAAAGATAACCTTCTCCTAACCTAAAACTTGTACCGCTTACCGACACGACTTAGCTGAGCAATAAAATGAGACAAAGAAGAGAAGGAAAGAGAAGAGAGGAAACGATTCAAGGTAAGTAGATCAGAACGAAAATCGAAGATTCGTTATTTATCGCCGGTGTTCCTTGAAACTTTCACGAAAACCCATACCGACAGCGACGCGAAGCCCCTCGACGGGCTATCGAGCTTAATTGACGCCAATTTGCCCGAGCAATTTAGAATCACGACCCCTGACCGTAAACGTACGGGGTTTCGGCGCTTTCCCCCCCTCGAAAAAAGAAAAAAAAAAAAAGAAGAGACAGCGAGCGATCGTCGACTATCTTCCGTTTTTTCACAGTTCGTTGCTCCTCAAGGACAAAAAGTTATACATAAATAAATCTCTCGAGAAAGAAAGGCCGGCCGGTGCTCAATCGATGCGCGTGCGCGAGCTGGACCATTGTATTACGTATATCAGTTCCATATATCTTCCATTTATTTATTTTTTTTTTTCCTTTTTTTCACGATCGTTTCTTTTTCTTTGTTTTTTTTTTTTCTTTTTTTCCTCGTTAACGCGCGAACGATCCAAAAGAAAATTCGCGAGACATTATTCGTGTCCTACGGGAACATTCTTCGAATCCGTGCTATCTACATGTAAACGAGGTTCGCGAGATCCCTAGATTATTTCCTCCTATGTACATCTATATTTTTCTTTTCTCCTTTTCTCTTTTCTTTTTTTATTTATTTTTTTTTTTATTTTCTTTCTTTTTTTTCTCTCGTTCGCTGTGTTTAAATATCGTCTTTTCACCGTTGTCATCGTTTATACATTATTACGTATTTAATTATCATTTATTACGTATATCGTTAAATTGCGTGTATACAAGGTATAAACTAAATTAATGTCGAATCTAAGTTTTACAACACAGCACAAGAATTCGCCGCGGCAGAGTTCTCCGACGTGTCTTCAGCCCGGTTGGACGACAGAACGATGTCATCGATCCTGTCATCGATTCTCGAATGAATTTGTCAACCAGGCCGATAGATGGTGCGTTTGGTCACTGCCTGACACGCTTAACATGCGTTCGATGGACACGGATATCCATGAACAGAGCCGCTGTGTAATTTGTCGAGAATATGCGAGCTACTAAGAAACGAAGCCAGTGATTACAATTGACATGCATTAGAAACATATGATTAGTGAATTGCATATTGAAAATGGAAACGAGGCTATTTTTAATCAAGTGTGTTTCACTTGGGACGATTTTAAGAAAATCATATTGATTTTAGATCTTTGTCTATGAAGGTATGAGTGAATTTGTTCAAGACGAATACTATGGTAATCTTGATAAAATAATGAGAACGGTATGGATTTTTAATTTTGTTTATTTTTTTTAAATATACTTTCTCTTTTTTCAGAAATAAACTTTTTGAATTAAAGAAGAACTGGATAATGCCTTTTGTCTGTGGCGGCTCTGCTCTCTACAGAAGAACAAGTTAAGGTGCCAAGCGGTTTCATGCCGAAAGCATCCTATTCCAAAAATATGCTACGAATTACATCACTGGTAACTTGGCCTCGTATCTCACGGAGCAGCGGTAAAATTTCAATGATCACTCGCCCCCAAAAATTCCCCGAATTTTGATTCTATCGAGGATTTCTCACATCAAAGTTAGGTTTTTTTCTTTTTTTTTTTTTTTCTTTCTCTCTTTCATCGTTGCTTCGAATATTTACAAAAGAGAACGAAAACGTGGTAAATAAAGTTAAACGAATTAGCGAAACAATTCTTTTAAAATACTTTCACTTCATGGCGTCATCTACGTTGATGAAAAGTGTTTAAAATTTAAAATTTAAAATTTTCTGAAGCATCTATCTTGTAATAAATCTCGTAAGTAAAATTGAGAATACTATCATATTAAATATAAAAAATAATATAAGATAAAATTATGACAAAAAGAGGATCTTTTGACTATTGCTGAAACAACAATTTTCTTTCAAGTAGTGACACACTTTTGGTTTGCAAATGCACAATTATAATACACAGCGATTATATTAAAATATTACCCGTAATATTTTAGCTGACAAGAATAAATAAAAGTCCATTTTGACATGTTCTTCAAACAGTAATCGAAAGAACAAGTTCCATGAAATGATTGTGAAAAAAAAAAAAAAATAAATAAATAAACGAATAAATAAAAAAAAAAACTTTTTGCAAAAGGTGGAAACAAGTATAGAATTTTTGAACTGACCTTGCGACGTCACTGATGAAGAAATGTCAAGCGGATTCGATTCTGCTCCGTCGGAGGCCTCCCATACTCCTAAGAACAGCACTGTTTTTCATTCATTCGATCAGCACACTGTCCGAAGAAACGGATTCCTCCTATTCCTGGCGCGTATTGACAGATCCGATCGATCACCAAAAAAAAAAAAAAAAAAAAAATAACACTGGAATTTCAACCGATTGCATAAAAAAAAGAGCGCACACACTGAAATTTCACTTGGTATCCACGATTTTAATAATCGAAATCGCAATTTAATCTTTCATCCCTCGTCCCTCTCTCCAATTAATTTCTCTCCACGTAAAGCGTGCACCCGTTCCATCGAGATTTTTATCATCAATTTTCCCCCCTTCCTTGGCAAAGCACTTTCCTCGTTTTTCTTTTTTTTTTTTTTTTTTTTTCTTTTTGAATCCTCCCGGCACTGAATGAGAAACACACATTCGAAGATCACACTTGGCACGTTCGCGATTTATTTAAATAACCCTCGCTCCGAGCCACCGCGGTTATCATAGGGAAAAAAACCTATCTAAACGATCTTCTATAGAACACTAAACCGTTTTTCATCATCTACTCGCTAACTAGAGACACGATTTTTTGGACGACCGTCCTTTTTCCTTTGTTTTTTTTTCTTTTTTCCTTTTCTTATATTCCGATATTCTAACCGCACTACAGACTCTACGCGTACGTGTACAACGTGTAAGAGAATAAATAATAAAACGCTTTTACCTAAAGGATAATTTTTCCACGCGATACAACGTTTTCCCCCAGATAGAGATATCCACATACACTCGCTCGTCACATTCTCTTCGTAAAATTTCCCACTTTTCTTTATATATTTGTATATATATTTATATATTCGTATGTATATATACTTTATATACTTATATATATATATATATATATCACTTTACACGCTTTCAAACTGCACATCATCCATCCATACTTCTCTACTATACAATTACAAGAATCCAATTACATCTCGCTATACAACATTCACGTTTTTTTTTTTAAAGTTACGTATTATATAATATTTGTTTCTCTCTCGCACTCGCATTCTCTCCATTCCTTTTTCTCGCTCGTCCTTCCACACACACTCTCTCTCTCTCTCTCTCTGCCAAATTATCTCTATTATATAATTATAGGCTTTAGTACAATTACATTCGATTAAATGTAACAGAGGTTAACGCGGTTCTGATTAGCATGTGATCCAGTTTTCCTCCTATCCGATCCATTCCCTTTTTCTTTCCTCCTCGTGATTATTAGGAAGATCTCGCACGTCCCTAATAAATCTTCATCCGACTCTTTCGTGTGTGTGTGTGTGTGTCCGGTTTCTCCATTCTTCCTCCTCTTCCCTTCCTTCTATTCACTCCACGTACGTACATACATACATACATCCTTCCCTCGTCTCGCGCGCGCAATCTCGCTCCTTTATCCCTTTGTCATCGTCCTGTTCACGTCTTCACTTCCATCCACACTGTCGGTCCGTGTATTTCTCTTCTCTTCTCTTCTCTTCTCTCTCTATCTTTATCCGTTCAACGACGTCGTCCTCTTCCATTTTTGGTACGAGCAACTTGATTAACACGACAGAAAATAAGCGTCATTGCTGTATGAGTGGGGGGAGGGGCGAGTAGGTGTGTGTGTGGGTGGGGGGGAGGGGAGGGGCCGTGTGTGGGTCGGTTTTTCGGGGCGGGGGGGGGAGAGGGGATTCTTCTTCTTTCTTTTCGAAGGAGGTGTATTGTGCGTGTGTGTATATATGTGTGTATATGCGTGTGTGTACGGGGGAGGAGGTAGTGGTGGAAACAAGGTATTAACGACCCTGAGAGAGATGAGACCTCTTTGGAAGTTCCACTCCTCGGGGATCTCTCAACCCTGCGGCGACGTCTGCGGCGAGATCTCGGTGTCCCCGTCGCCCGAGCCGGGTGTACCCTTCGACTTGTTCTCCTTCTTCCATTTCATCCGTCTGTTTTGAAACCAGATTTTGATTTGCCGCTCGGTAAGGCAGAGCGCGTGCGCGATCTCGATGCGACGCCGCCTGGTCAGGTATCGGTTGTAGTGGAACTCCTTCTCGAGCTCGAGGGTTTGGTATCGGGTGTACGTTTGCCGGCCTCGTTTCCTCTCTGGAACACAACGATCCAAGAATCGCGGGGATTCGTCTCTCGTTAGTCTCGTGTTTCTTTTCGTGTTGATATTTTGTAACACGATATGTTTACAAGGCGATATGGTTCAGAAATGGCCGTTTTCTGGCCCGACTATTATTCTACGAATCGGCGGCGAACTTAATTATAATCGGGCATTGTTGTTGTAAGAAAGAGAATTAAATTTATTTTAAGGCGAATTCAAAGTATATTTATCATAATAAATCGAAGCTACGTTTCTTTCGACGAGGAAGAGGGTTGGATGTGGATCAACTCGTGTCCTTGATCGTAGAATCGAATTCGTGTAAACCGTGAATTCCCCCCCCCCCCCATTCCTTTCGACGAAACCTAGGTAATATTTCACAGAGCGTACGCGGAGAAACGGATTACCCTCGAAGCCAAGCACTTTGATTTCAAAGTAGCGTGCATACGCGGTTACAGTATAAAGCATTATGAGAGCGCGTTCTAATTTCGATCCTGTTCCGAGAAACTCGGGTTCTCGTTAAAATGCAAGTGGACTAATAAGATGTACCGGTGTCTTGTTGCTCTTTTTTATCATACGAGCCACAGATTGATATATACTCGACGAATAAGGTCTAGAAATACGTCGTGGTTCAAGAGTTATCCAACCTCTAACTTGAACCTAATCTAATCTGTGAATTTCTATAAATAGACGTGAAAATACGTGTTCTCTATCGACACATCGTGTATCCCAGATTAACTTCAACTTGTTGTTGAGAATAAAAGAGACGCAACGGTGGAAGAAAAGTTGAGTAAGGAAGAACGACAGGGTCGATAAGGTTGGAAAAAATTTTAAACTTTTACACGCGTATTTTCTTATTCCTTTCAATTCGAAACAGTTATGGCGTACGAAGAGAGTGGACACCACAGGAGTGGACGCTTCGTTAATCTCCCGTCTACTCGGCAGAGAGCGCTCGAGGCAGCAATCCGAGATATTTAATGAACGCCGTGCAACCTGCTTCGGCACGCGGGAAACTTTTTACACTGGCCGAAACAAAAATCCTTGTCCAACGAAGAAAAAGCTTCTCGACCGCCTGTTCGTAGGCGCAGTTCCGCGTATGATAGATACCTTACAGATATCCGTGACATGATCTGCGCTCGGTGTGGCGGTACACGAATCCCGAACAAGAATATTAATTGTACTTGCCAAGGGAGCGAGGGAAGAAGAGCTCCACGCAAAGAGAGAGAGAGAGAGAGAGAACGCGAGACGACCAACTGGACTCTCGACACGGACCCACGTGATGCGCGAGTGTGTGCACGTACACTATCTCACGAGACGTAATCTCAAAGGGTTAGGTTAGCTGTTGCCACACGAGTGCAAGAGGGCAAAACGAGAATATTTCAGAGTGGTGGTGTACGAGGGAGGGAAAAAAGGAGGGGGAGGGAGGGATGAGAGGCAGCGAGAAGGAGCAGGAGGAGGTGGAGAAGGGGGAGGAGTAGAAGAAGAAGAAGAAAACTCCTTGGTGAGCATTCGAGGCAAACGCCGCCCGTCGCGCTGTCGGCCGATGAAGACGGATGGCGACTCTCTCCTCCGCAGCGAGAGAGAACGAGGATTCGAGGGTTCTCGTTGCCCGGCCGGACGAAGCGGAGAAGAAGAGAGAAGCTATGGGAACATGCCATCTTCCTCTTCCTTCCTCCCTTCGGGCTACGCTCTCAAATTAACAACATACCAATCTCTAACGTTTTCTTATAACTTTTAACCTAGCTTCTCCCGCCCGATGGCGTTGCTATCGCATCCTACGGGCTCTTGGCCTTTTACTTCATTTCATCCTCGCGTAATAAACCGTGCGCTTTTAAAAATCCATCAAAATTGAAATTTCTATTATTATCCATTTCTTTGATGTCCAATTCACAAAGGCGAGCACAAAAATACGTCGTTCCGTGTTCAAAACCGCAAAATTGGGTAGCCAATCAAACGATGGCCGGGATAAACATAGATCACGGGTTTCATCAAAGAAGCTGATGAGTCGCGCGCGAACGCGCCTCCATTTAGAAGCCTGGGCTTATTAATGTTCATTCGTCAGCCGGTTAATGAAGGTGCCTCCTTAAAGACGGTCTTTGCATGGTCGTCTAACCCAGAAGATCATCAAAGCATTCACGGAATAATGAAACGGTGTTAAGTCACGCTCGAGCTGGCCCGTGCCGATTAGTTTGTGCCTCTTTATCGATAATACTCTCTAGTTGCCTAATTGCGACTATATCCTGTGAAAACGAAATAAATATCAAGTGTGCCCGTCACGTTGGATCGATGAAAGACGATTTTCCCCGACGATCGCACACTTCAAAAGTAAAATGACCGAGTTCAAGTGCCATTAGAGGGAGGGATCATTGAACTTGTCAATGGTCAATTTGTCATTAGTGTCAATGAAGATTCAGACTTTAAAAATACGCGTAAGTGCAGCAACGAGTGGTAAGAAAAATTTACAAAGCGTTTTGCAATGTCATGATCACAAGTGGAAGAATAAGTTTTACTACGATCCTTGAACTTATCAAGGATCGTTTGTCATTGATGCCAATTAAACTTCAAGCTCGATATAGCCTTGGTGTTAACAAAAATTCGAAACAGGATTTGTAAATTTTTTATTAGAATCAATTATATCTTGTCTATAAAAATATATCGTAATATCATGCAAGCCGATGCCACAGGCGCTAGGAACGAACACTTGCGTTAGCTTGACCACGAATAACTATTATCCTAATAACAAGGTAGCGCAAGGATATTGCCAATATCCTCTCGAGTTACGTATGCAGCTGTCTGGTTCGGAGTCAATCGATTCCAGCGGCGAAGACTCGAATCTTGATTAGTCTCGTCCGGCCAGTGAATTAGACTTTTTCTCCCTGGCCAAGCACGCGAATTTTTAATTAAAATATTCGTTCGATACTCGATGTGAAGGGAAATTTTAATCAACGTGCAGAGAAATTATCGAAAACAAATCTATTTCCAACTTGAATAAATAATATAGAAATAGAAAAATAATATAGAGTAATAAGCAAATGTAAGGAGATGTTGCGCGCGCATCATGAGCACATGCTGACAAGCAACTTAACCTCTGATTCTGAGCGAACAGGTGGAGAATAGAATAGTAAAAGTTATGATCGCATTAAACATTCAATCAATTAATATTACTTTTCTTTTCAAAGAAACGGTGTCAAGAGCAATAATTATTGGAAAAAATTTATTCTTATCTCGAAGAAATAAAAGAGATATCATGTAATATAAGGTGATCATTCCATGTTATTCGCGTGCCAGAATTGATGGAGTGACGATGCGCGCGCATCGTGGCCACGTGACGAACGTATACGAACGACAGAAACGACTTAACCTGTCGAAAGAAGTAGAAAAATAGGATTCGCAATGATCACGATCATCCGTGGTTCCATTCGTTCGCAGAATTGTACACATTTAAATCGATACTTCTCCCTTCTCTTCGAAGAAAGATATCAAAGCGTAGGAAGCGATATCGAATGCTTGAATCCCAAGTCGCGCAGAACGAGCCCTCGGAGCGGCGTGAAAGCGTTATCTAGGCGCAAGATCGCCGGCAAATTAATCACCGGTATGCATTCTTGCAGGGTGAAAAGAATTAAACGGCATTTTCATTGTGCTCGATCTCGTCGTGGGAAACACGGCTCGCATAGAATGCGCGAGATTTTCTTCATCGTGAGGAGGATACACTGAACAGCTGGAACGACATATATACACACACACACACACAGACAAAGCCTCGTAAGTAACTAACACAAGCGAATCGACGAATCGATGTCCTTGAACGAAGAAGATTTTTATTCGATCATGCAGAATGGATCACGCGAACGAAGTACAGTACAGTAAGGTGTATGTTGTGAAGAGGTCGATAACAAGAAAAGCCGGCCAGAATCGTCGGTTTATGCTGAACCGGCGTTCTGATGGCGGCGTAGCCGTTGCTCTCTCGCGGACGAAGGTGACTTTAAACGCGGGGCAATAAATTAACGGCGTTGGGTTACGCAAGGATCAAATGTCCCCTGGAGTATGCTCGAGAGATTTATGGGTCTGCCTTCACTGGCGCAGCATGAAGGAACGGAACGGAACAGAACAGAACGTACACAACCGTACGGCTTATTATAGGCTAGTTGCTCCGCTTCTTCGTCTCTCTCTCTCTCTCTCTCTCTCTCTCTCACTCACTCACTCACTCTCCGTTTCTCCTTCTCTGTTTCTCTTCTCTCCGGGACCGACTGGTCTTTCAGACCCGCCGCAGGATACATGCAGGACTTTTCAGATGAACAGCTAGCCGGATGTTGTAACCCGCTAATAAGGCGCGGCCACCACTCGCTGCCCAATTAAGCTAAGCTTTACGTGGCCACCTTAAGGCCAGGCCTTGAAACGCTCTTCGATTAGATACCCTAGATATCCCATTAATTTTATCGCTCGCCCTCTCACGGCCTCCCTATACACCGGGCCTCAGCTCGCTATACACGAGCCTCCTCCTCCTTGGATTATATGACCGGTCGACGTCGCTGACAGAGGTTCAGATTAATTGCGTGGAACCCGGTGAACCACCTTGGAAAACCTTCTTCAGAACGGGTACGCGTTTCGAAGATTCGACTCGTTTCGTTTATAATCACGATAATTGAAGTGATTATTATGAAGCAGCGCGATACTTTTTTTTTTCCATCAACGAAAATGACGATAAGATAGATAAGAGTTGATCGAAAATTAAGGTTGGAGAGGTTTTACATTAACAAAAGAAAAACAAGAGGATATATGGGGAAAAATATGATTCCAAATTTTTTTGAATGGTGGTGTAATGGCTCATAGAAAACGGTCTCTTTAATCCGGTACACGTGATCGAACTTCCTCCGGTTCCCCAACTCACGTCCGTCTGACTCTCCATATATTTTAAGCGCGGCAATCCGTCTTGCTTTTTGTATTTCCGTCCTAGGCTGCTTTATGTCACGTTGTTTTCGTTGAACTTTCTTCGCCCCGA